ATGAATGGATAAAGAAGATGTGGTATATATATATACAATGGAATACTATGCAGCCATCAAAAGAAATGAAATCTTGCCATTTGTGATGACGTGGATGGAACTAGAGGGTATTATGTGGAGCAAAATAAGTCAATCAGAGAAAGACAACTATCATATGATCTCCCTGATATGAGGAAGTGGAGATACAACGTAGGGGGTTTGGGGGGTAGGAAAAGAATAAATGAAACAAGATGGGATTGGGAGGGAGACAAACCATAAGAGACTCTTAATGTCACAAAACAAATTGAGGGTGGCCGGGGGGTGGAGGGCAGGGAGAGGGTGGTGGGGTTATGGACATTGGGGAGGGTATGTGCTATGGTGAGTGCTGTGAAGTGTGTAAGCCTGGTGATTCACAGACCTGTACCCCTGGGGTTAATAATACATTATATATTAATTTAAAAAAAAATTCTCTCTCTCCCCCCTGCTCACACCCACCCTCTTAAATAAATAAATAAATAAATAAATAAATAAATAAATAAAATTTAAACAAATAAATATAAAAAAAGAAAGATCCTAAACCAGCATAGAAAACTGGCAAGTTATTCTGCCCGCAAAACCTCTTCTACTATTGGCTGAACAGAACAGAAAAATATTTAAATATATTTTTGAATATTTGATATATTTGGTAAATTTCAGTCTAGTCAGTGATAAGAAGGCATGACTTTCCTGGAGGAAAATTTTTAAACATTAGAGTATAAATTGCACATATCTCTATGATAATTCTGTTTTCATTTCCTTGAATATATGCCCAGAAGTAGAATTGCTGGATCATGTGGTAGTTCTATTTTCTAATTTTTTGAGAAACCTCCATACTGTTTTCCATAGTAGCTATACCTAATTTACATTCTTCACATTCGAACTATTCAAAGTTCTAGTGGCTTGACGCTGAGATGCTGAGTATAATTCTCAGAGGAGTGTTAATTCCCTTTTTTCCATATTCTGGGCAATTCTTGTTATCTCTTGTCTTTCTGATGTTTGCCGTTTTAACAGGTGTGAGGTAATTGTCGTTGTGATCTTGATTTGTGTTTCCCTGAGATTAGTGATGTTGAGAACCTTTTGATGTTCCTGTTGGCTATTTGGATATTTTCCTTGGAAAAATCTCTATGTAGTTCCTCTGCCCATTTTTTTAATTAGATTTTTTTATCTATTAAATTGTGCTTCAAAGGAACTGTCAAGAAAGTGAAGGTGAGAAAATATTTGCAAATCATATCTCATCAGGTATTTGTATAAAACTCATTAATAAAAAGACAACTATCCCAATTTGAAAGCAGCCAAAGGATCGGAATAGACATTTCTCCAAAGATATACAAATGGTCAATAAACACATGAAAAGATGCTTAATATAATTAGTCACTAGGGAAATGTAAATCAAAACCATATTGAGATACCACTTCACACCCATTAGGATGGCGATTGTATTAAATTGTATGAGTACTTTATATATTTTAGATACTAACCTCATATCAAATATATGATTTGCAAATATTTTTTTTGGAACCACACTGTCTATTAATGTAGCCTTGGAGTAAGCTTTGAAGCTTTGAAGAAATTGTGACAGCTCTAATTTTATTCTTCCTTTTTTCAAGATTGTTTTGACTAATTCTGGGTCCTCCTTAAATTTACACTTGAATTTTAGGATTAAGTTGTAATTGTCAGTTGCTGAAAAAAAATGCCAGTTTGGATTTTGGTGAGGATCATACTGGATCAATTTGTGTTCCTGTTATTTTTGTTCTCATAACTTCCTTTATACAGTAGTAAACATACTGTTTAATTAGGATGACAATGGTTAAAAAAAAAAAAAGACAGTAACGAGTGTTGGGCAAGGATGTGAAGAAATTGGAACCTTCACAACATCACTGGTAGGTATGTAAAATGGTGCAGGAACTTTGGAAAAATACTTTGGCAGTTTCTTAACAAGTTAAATTTAACCACAGGACCTACCAATTTCAAACTCAGAAATCTATCCAAAAGAAATAAAAATATGCACATGTAAAAAAGTTGTACATTCATGTTCATAATAGCATTAATAATAGCCATAACATGGAAATAACCCAATGTCTATCAATAAATGAGTGGATATGGGACGCCTGGGTTGCTCAGTGAGGTAAGCATTGCCTTCATTATGATCCCGAGGGTCCTGGAATCGAGTCCAGTATCGGGTTCCTTGCTTAGCAGGGAGCGTTTCTCCCTCTGCCTGCTGCTCCCCCTGCTTGTGTGCTCTCTCTCTCTGACAAATAAATGAATAATATCTTTAAAAAAAATTATATGAATGGATAAAGAAAATGTGGCATATATGGACAATGAAATATTATTTAGCAATAAAAAGAAATATAATACTGATCTATGCCACAACATGGATGAACTTTTAAAAACATTAAGTGAAAGAATCCAGTCACAAAAGACCACCTATTATATTGTACAATTCCATTCATATGAAATGTCCAGAAGAAGCAAATCTATAGGGATAGAAAGTAGATTACGGTTGCCTAAGGCTAGGGGGAATTGAAAGACTGGAAGAAAAAGAGGGGCGACTGCTAGTTGGTATATTTCTTTTGAGGGTGATGAAAATATTCTTAAGTTGAATGTGTTGATGGTTGCCCAATTCCATAAATATACTAAAACCAATGAATCATATCATATATTTAAGTAAGTGAATTGAAGGATATGTAAATTGTATCTCAAAAAGTTGTTATTAAAAAAATACAAACAGAAGAATTACTTGTCTGGGGAAACCACATATCCCAAGAATGCTAACTCACACAATGTCTTCTTTATCCTGTATATGTACCTGAAGGGTAATGGAAACCCACTGAAGAATTTTTAAATAGGGTAATGTCCTAATTAGATATGTCTTTTGCAATGTTTGATGAACAGACTGGAAGAGAGCAAAACTGAACTTGAGAGATCAGTTAGGACTAGAGTCTGGAAAGGGATAATGGGACTCAAGAGACATTGGGAATTAAGATCAATAGAACTAATGACTGGTTCTGAGATGTGATAGTACTACAAGTTTTCTGCTTTGTAAAACTGTATGTATGGTGATGCCATTTACTGGGATAGGGAATAATAGAGATGTTACTATTGTTGTGGTTGTTAGTTTGCAAGAGGGATGTGTGTCAGTTTATAACATAGTCATTCTAGATGTCTTTACATTATCCAAGTAAAGGTCAGATTAGGAGAGCAAAGATAAACCAGAGGTAGAAGATACACATTGGGTTTAACCAGTGTAAGTAAAAATGAACCATTTAAGAACAAAAGACACTGCTCAGGAAGAAACAGAAAGAAAAACGAGGGAGTAAAATGGAACTGAGCAGAATACATCAACATTTAAAGAGTAAACAGAAAAAAATAAGCTGGTAAATAAGTGGTCTTAGGAAAGTGGTCTTAGGAAACAACCAAGAGAGGGTGTCATGAACACTAAAAGGGAAAGTTTCAAGGATAACTTAGATAGCACTGAAAGTTGCTTTTCAAAGTAAAGTAAAGTGAATAATGAAAAAATGTCATTTGGACCTAGTTAACAATGAAGATTGTTAAGGTCTTTAGGGACCTTAGAGAGGAGCAAATCTGGAGGGATGATCAAACAGAAGCCAGATTGGAATAAGTTTAATATTGAGTAGAGGGGCACCTGGGTGGCTCAGCCCTGTAAGTGTCTGACTCTTGATTTTGGCTCAGGTCATGATCTCAGGGTCATGAGATCGAGCCCTGCGTCAGGCTCCATGCTTATTCCTTGTTTGTTTTAACATTATTCCATTACCTTTTTTTTTCTTTACCATATAACCATATTTAATTATAGTATTCTAAAATGAAATAACTGTACATTTTTTTGGTTTTATTTATAACCAGAATACCAAATTCAACTGTGCTATTATTACCATCACATTAACAATTCATCTATAATACTTCTGTATTATAGTTTAAAAGTCAAAAGGAACACCTATACATATATCATCTTACATGATGAGTTTCAAAACTACCCACTATACTTGTATAGGTAAACAATCATTTATCATATATCCAAATTTTGCCTCCGCACATCTAGAAGGCATACCATTTAGAGAATTTTATTCCACATTACTTCTTAACTGTGGCATACTGTTTGCAAAGATGGCTTCAACAATCCTTCCCATCCTTGTGTGCACTACCATTTATATTGTGACTTCTCCATTCCCACTATCAGAATTGAAGTCTATTTCTTTTCCTTATCAATATGGGTTGGCCCTGTGATATTCTTTGTCCTACAGATGTCACATCAAATGACTTCCTAATGTAAATTTCAAGAGACCTTATAGCTCTCACTCTTGCCTTCTTGGAATATGAAGAAGCTCCAGCGAGCTTGCTGGAACACAAGAGATCACAGGGGAAAAGGCCCAGCCAACAGTATGATCTCCCAGACATGACAGTGAGGTCATTTTAGACCATCTACCCTTAGCTGAGTCATCAAATAAACACAGCTATATGAGGGACCCTAACTGAGATCAGCAAATTGTCTACCTGAGCCCAACTCAAACTTTCAACCTACAGAATCATGAGCAAATAAAACAACTGTTTTAAAATACAGTCTGAAGAAATAACCTAATTTTTAATTTTCTTTTTCTATTTTAAAAACACAGGAAAAAATGAATATATAAACTTACCACTTTTCTCACGGAAAAATCACGAGTAATATCACTTTCACTTATTATTTTGCACCTAAACTTAAGCTTCTTTAAAACAAAATTATCAGAGTCAGAGTCTTATGGTTCAGCCATTCATTATTAATTACATACTATGTGTCAGGATAACTCCAGACACTGACCATCTATTAGTGAACAAAGGAGATTAAAATCTCCACCCGCACTGGGGAGATATGGATAACCCAAATCCAAAATATATTATCTTCTAATATGTAAGAATTATAATAACACCTATATTTTCCAAGGGAAGAACATGTAAAGAGAAATGTTACCAATAATCACTCTTACCCTCATGCCAAGCACCAAGAACCCAATCTCTTCCATTAATGGGTACTTGCTGACCTGTTGCTTAATCTTCTCAGATGAGGCAAAAGGATCATAACTCTTTCGCCCTATCTTTACATCCATTATACAGGGCTTATTAAATTTATGGGTCACATCTTCCAGTTTTAAGTATAAATCTGTTATTAAAGGAAAACCTTAATTAGTAATAGGAAAACATATTACTACGCAAATAACTTCCACAGGAAAACAAAATGAGAAAATCTTAAAACTGAGAAAAAAGTTAAAATAAAACCAGAGTCAACAATTATTATTATTCCAACTGAAAGAAGAAGAAAAAACTGACCAACAAATTTAAAACAAGTATAAATATCACAGAGAAACTCTTGCAGGAAGTGATAAAATTAATATTCAATCATCAGCAAAAGGATGAAATAGATATAAGGTTCCTAAGGACATTAAAATGAGATTATCTCAAAAGCTTTTTCAGAATGCATTCCCCTTTTGAATACATTTTATGTCATCTGTGCTTCAGTAGATCTCTTAGTATTTTAATAATTCCTAAAAATTTTCATTTAAAATTAATATTAGGAATAAATCCTTCCCACAGAGTACACAACAGAAGCATAGTTTAAGAAAGTAAATCTATCTAGGGGCGACTGGTTGGCTCAGTCATTAACTGTCTGCCTTCGGCTCAGGTCGTGATCTCAGGGTTTTGGGATGGAGCCCCACACCGGGCTCCAAGCTCAGCAGGAAGCCTGCTTCTCCCTCTCCCACTCCCCCTGCTTGTGTTCCCTCTCACTGTGTCTGTCTCTGTCAAATAAATAAATAAAATCATTAAAAAGAAGGTAAATCTATCTACATTATGGTCACTGCCAAATACACATTCTAGTCTTACTAGTCTCAAAAGAAAAATAAGTATCTTGCTTTTTAGAATATAAGCATTCGTCAAAAAGTTCATCTGTAAACTACTTTGGCATCCTGCATACATATTCCCACAGAAAACTACTATAAATGGAGATTCAAGTAAAAAATTATAAAAGTTTTAGTTACTAAATACTGTAACTGAACTAATTACAGCTTAGCTTGAAAGTAAAGTCTAGGTACAGAGGGAAGAAAGGAAAGAAATTCTTTACTTGATGAAAGCATCTTCCCAAAGTTCTAACTGAGATCATAACTTTCAGTTATGAATATGTGAAGCATTTCTCCTAAAAACTTTTTCTCAAAAACAGAAAAGATTTTATCTGCTTTTTACTAAAGTAGCAAAGTTAGAGAAGATATGTATTTTTTATGAATAAAAGGCTACCAGAGGAAAAAAGACTTGCCCTATTTTCCTTTACCTTGACCCACACCAAGCAGTTATTAAATTACAACAAAGAAGGCTGTGTTGAACTAAAAATGAGAACAATCCTCATAGAGCTTGTGAAAGTTTTAAGCCCTCAGATTCAAGAGGCATAAATCTTTTCCTTGAAAGGATAAGAAATAGGGGCGCCTGGGTGGCTCAGTGGGTTAAAGCCTCTGCCTTCCGCTCAGGTCATGATCTCAGGGTTCTGGGATCGGGCCTTGCATCAGGCTCTCTGCTCAGCAGGGAGCCTGCTCCCCCCTCCTTCTCTCTGCCTGCCTTTCTGTCTTCTTGTGGTCTCGGTCTGTCAAATAAATAATAAAATAAAATCTTAAAAAAAAAAAAACGAAAGGATAAGAAATAAAGAGGTAAGTTTTATCCCTTAGTAAAAGGAAGATGGGAGCAAGGTCATGATTTTGTAGAACCAGGTGAAGTCAAGCCCAAATATGACAAAAAACTATAGCCTAAGAAACCAGCACTGGCACAGCAGAAAAAGTAGGACACATTTTAAAAAAGGACTCTCAAAAACAGACATGTGCAGTAAGAGAAAACAAAAGGTCTGGACACAGACACAGGACTGTTGACAATGAAAAGTAAGGGCACTGTGGGAATATTCTGATCAAGAAATTGGAACCCACCCAAGATTCTGTGCTTTCAAAGATAACAACAGGATGGGATGAGAAGATGGGGAAGAAAGCAGCACAGAACCGTCCCCTTTGTATTCCCTCCTTTCATCTCCAGCTACCTTGAGTGAAACTAAAGGAAACTTATCCATCCTTTTGCTACAGCTATGTAAAAATTTCAGTAACAAGGTTTATATCTCAAATATCAGAAAAAACTAATTAGAACCTAATACAGTAAATCCCTGACATACACAAGTGTATCATTACTTTCTGTAACTGAAAGAGACCTCAAAAGTCTTGAGGAGAGTATAAAGATAGTGTGTGAACTTAGCTAACTATCATAGCATCTTTATCTCAGTGTAGGATTATTATTTTCTACTTGCCAATTTGGTAGTGATTAAAAACAAACAATAAACTGTTTCTTGTAATAATTGGAGATGACAGAAGCAAGAGTAGATTACAAACCATAATATAAAATCTCTATTTCCTCTTCCCCTCTTGGGAAGGAGGAAAATACAAATGCAAATCCCATATATAGTAGGAATACAATAAATGTTTGCTGAATGAATGAATGTTTGCCTTTCTCATTCCTACTGCCCAGAGAGACTTTGGATTTGGCCTAACACTGTAATAACTGAGTCATTCCTTCAGTAAACAGGCCTGAGCATCTTGGGTTTTATTTGACATATATTTCAACTAGCCAAATGTGTTTTTCTTTACTTTCAGGTTCTTTTTTTTTTTTTTTTTTAAAGATTTTATTTACTTATTTGACAGACAAAGATCACAAGTAGGCAGAGAGACAGGCAGAGAGAGAGAGGAGGAAGCAGGCTCCCTGCTGAGCAGAGAGCCCGATGCGGGGCTCGATCCCAGGACCCCAGGATCATGACCTGAGCCAACAGCAGAGGCTTTAACCCCACTGAGCCACCCAGGTGCCCCTACTTTCAGGTTCTTGATATGGGATATATGACTCAAATTACCAAACAACTGCTAGAATATTATTAAACTTAAGTTAATAACTCTTTTTTTAAAAATTTTTAATTTTTTTATAAACATTTAATGTATTATTAGCCCCAGGGGTAAGTTAATAACTCTTAAATTAAAACCTGCTGAGTTGGCTTAGTGTTTTTCTTTTAGTTCCCTGGCCTTGATTTTTTTTTTTTTTTTTTGGTAAGTGAAACTAAGAATTTGAGACTGTAATTTCTATCCTTCCCTCTTAGTTGTAAAAATAAACATCAAAACCTGCTGCAGAGATGCAGTTTTTTTTTTAAGGCTATAATGTCATATATCTAGAAGCTTGCCACAAGTACTTTTGAATGAAATAGATAAATAGGAAAATGGGACATGATCTGAGCACTGACACCTTTACAGATTTTTTTTTAAACAGGTTGTTATCACTAGAGTTAAGTCTGAATATTAATTCTTTCTGCAAAATGCTATTAGCAAATTATTTCACTAGCATACAGCTTAATTCAAAATAAGTCAATCTTGAGATTCAGTAACTTAAATGCTCAAAGGCATTTTACTACAGGGGAGTTTCACTTGTAAAGCAATGTCACAGACTGGATAACAAAGGACGCTTTTTCAGCCAGGCCCCTCTGGCTATAGAATGGAGTAGTATTTTTAAATTTTCAGGTAAACAGAAAATATGTTCTAAAACTCATCCAGGGTTTTTGCCACCCTGGGTGGCTCAGTCGGTTAAGCGTCTGCCTTTGGCTCAGGTCATGATCTCAGGATCCTGGGATCAAGCCCCATATCGGGCTCCCTGCTCAGCGAGGAGCCTGCTTTTCCCTCTCCTGCTCCCCCTACTTGTGCTGTCTCTCTCCCTGTCAAATAAATTAAAAAAAAAAAAAAAAAAAATCTTAAAAATAAATAAATAAATAAATAAAACTCATCCAAAAAATCGGATGGACTAAGAATAAGTGTTCTATCTGGAATATTTTTACGTTCATTCTGACCAAGGTCAAGGAAATAAATGAAACTACTTTCATACAATGTTTGGAAAATAATTACGATATGATTATTTAATATGATGTAACTTGTAAGATATGATTTTGAATGAAGAGAGGTGATTTTTACACATACATGTGTATAACTGTATGTTGTATACATCATAAAGATTGATAGAATAATAACTAGATTTACTTTTTTAAATTCTGAAAACCTCTATTTAAGACAACAGATACTGATAAAACCAGTCTGCCAGAGGTCAAAGGACTGGCATTTATGAAACTCAGATCTAAGGAAATATTCTATAATAATTGTATAATAAATAAAAAGCCATCTACTTTTCAGAAATACATGGAGCTCATTATAAGAGATCACAATGACTAGAAATACAGTTAAGTTTAAGAGGCTATGGCTATAAGAGCTAAATCCATTATTTATCTACTAATTCATGGAAGTATACACAGAATTTCTATAATTCATTAATTTTTTGAGGCAAAGATCATGAAAATAACTACCAGATATTCAGAAATATACCACTTCATGCTGTTATAAGCAGATTACTAAGTAAAATTTCTCAGTGGCTTTACCAATGACATGGTTAGCATGCTCAAAATATTATATACTTCATGCTGTTGACGACAATATAAGATTGCCCAAGGTTACTATGGCTGAAGGAAGCTTCCTGTTTTAAATATATTTTCTAATTAAATATGTATAATTAAATATAATTACCTTTAATATAAATTAAATGTAATACATTGCTTTGTAATACATTATGCATAAAAAATTCCTATAGCAAATTTTCTACTGCTGGAATATATTCCTGACACTCTAAGAAAGGGGCAGAAAATTCCCAGTATCAAAAGAGAAAAAAGTAGAAACATTTGAAATACTGTGGAAAAACTGAAAGACCTACATATAACTAAACAGTAAAGATAATTAGTTTCTTTAAAGGAAGGACAAGGGAGAGGGCATTCAGGGAGTTGAAGGAAGAGTTATTTAGATGCTCTTATACTAAATATTACTGATTGTATAAATTATGAGAATATGGGTTCCAAGTTTCGTCAAATTCTTCCCCACCATCTCCAGAAAGTCCAGTAGGTATAGATTACTATCTTCATTTCTGAACCTCTCAAAAAAGGAGAAAAGGCCAGATGAGGAGCTCCCGCCCAACTAGGAAGCCATATGGAAAAACAGAGAAGGCCTTTTACTTCTGCTTTCAACTGCAATCATTGGTCATTTCTAAAGGCAAGATAAACTGAAAGTAGAAAGGATCACAGGGAGAGATCTTGAGCTTCCAAATTTGACCTCAGTGTATAGGAGGTCAGTGCATGCTTCCTAAAATTTCACTAGTAGCTAGATCCAGAAACCCAACAATTAATCAAGCTGGAAAGTACATTTAAAAACTTTCAATTTGGGGGCGCCTGGGTGGCTCAGTGGGTTAAAGCCTCTGCCTTCGGCTCAGGTCATGATCTCAGGGTCCGGGGATCGAGCCCCACATGGGGCTCTCTGCTCAGCGGGAAGCCTGCTTCCTCCTCTCTCTCTCTCTGCCTGCCTCTCTGCCTACTTGTGATCTCTCTCTGTCAAATAAATAAATAAAATCTCTAAATAAAAAAAACAAAAAAAACCTTTCAATTTGCTCAAACCCACTTAAAGATATACTTTTCTATCTCCCTAGATAACTATCAATAAAATCTTTTTGATGGTATATATCCTAGGCATCATATGTTTATATAGATAAGGATGAGATTTAATATATGTAACTAACTCAAAATCCTCAAAGATAATTTATAAATGTTTTAACTTTAAAAAAAAATCTATTGGTCATGTTCTAAAATTAGCTAATGGTGATGATTTTACAGCTCTATGAATATATTAAGAACTACTGAATTATATACTTTAAATGAGTGGGTTTTATGATACATAAATTATATCTTGATAAAGCTACATAAAAAAATCAAAAGGAAAAAACCTTATTGGTCAGCATGATCTTACACTTAAGTTACAATAATTTGCTAAGCAAATTTGCAGTACTTTCTACATTTTACTACTCTGGGCTGTAAGAACTACATCAAGTTTATAAAACTACCATGAGCACCTGAAAAATAATAAATAATTTATAAAACTACTATAAGCACCCGCCCGGTGGGTGGGTGGGGGAGGCCAATTATTCCTACGTAAAATACAGTAATGCAAACCACAGTGTTCTAAAATTTAAGAAATATTTGGTTTCATGATATAAATATTTATATTTGTTTCATTATCAAAAGGATAACAGAAAAACGATCCCATGGATTCTCTAAAAAAAGCTAAACACCTGCATAGTGCAACAATTTTTGTGTAACTTCCTCCAGAGCAAAAAAATTAAAAAGCAATAGGACATCTACCAAGGCAACTGTTCAATTACTAAACCACTCTATATACAGATACTTTTTTATTCCTGTCCTTTCCACCCTTTTATTTACATTTTCTCCTCTCTTCTCTCATTTTCCTCACCTCATTTTCTTTTCCCAGTAGCACCAATTTCTCCATAAGAGAAATTCAAATAAGAATATTAGAATTTTCAAAGCATTCTTACATAACATGCAACTACTCAAATCTATGTGGTATTATTTTCAATTTATAAAAGAAAAAGTAGAGCTCAAAAAGGTTAATGAGTTGGGGTGCCTGTGTGGCTCGTCGTTAAGTGTCTGCCTTTGGTTCAGGTCATGATCTCAGGGTCCTGGGATGAAGCCCTACATCGGGAGTCATGCTCAGCGGGGAGCCTGCTTCTCACTCTTCCAGTCCCCTACCTTGTGTTCCCTCTCTCGCTGTGTCTCTGTCAAATAAATAAATAAAATCTTAAAAAAAAAAAAAAAAAAAAGTTCATGATTTAACCAACTTCACAAAATTTGGAAAAAATCGAGGTAAAACCAAGTCTTTTGGAGCGCCTGGGTGGCTCAGTGGTTTAGCTTCTGCCTTCGGCTCAGGTCATGATCCCAGAGTCCTGGGACCGAGCCCCACATCGGGCTCTCTGCTCGGCAGGGAGCCTGCTTCCTCCTCTCTCTGCCTGCCTCTCTGCCTGCTTGTGATCTCTATCTGTCAAATAAATAAATAAAATCTTTAAAAAACAAAAACCCAAGTCTTTTGACTTCAAACTACTCTTTCTATTTTAGTATAGATGTCTCTCTATTTAGTACTGAGGACCAAGAAGATTGTTATTGCTAGTAAGTCCTTTATTTTTAAATCATATGCTAGTAATTCAAGCTATAAAATGTTATTTTTAATTAAAATATTTCTTCTTACCCAGATTCTTTCTATATACTCTACTTTTCAAAATAATGATGCTGTTTGCTCAGTTATTCTACCCCTTCCTAACAACGTTTTTAAAATGAGTATTTACTTATCTGGATGTTGACTATAGTACCATCCTCAGTGACCTCTGTTAATCTTTCAACTGTTACTTTAATGATGAGTAATGATTTGCTCAAAATTAAACAGCAACCAGTGGCAAAGTTTAATGGAATCCAGTTATTTTACGTTACAACGGAAACCTCTATGAAGTAAGGTGATCATCAAGATTTGTGAAATAACTTAAGTAATATGGTGATCTCAATCAGGATATACTCTATATTTGAGACAAAAAGACAAAGAAAGAAGGAAGGGAAAAAGAAAGGAAAGAAATAAAGGGAAAAAAGAAAGAAGGAGGAAGACTAAAGCTAAACTCACTCATTTTTTTTTTCATATTACTGAAATACAGAAGAATCCTAAATACCCGGGGAATCATAGATTTACTATTACCTAACTGAGGATACCCAGGAAGATACCATGGTTCCCTACAAATGACACTTCCTTACCTAGTAAATAAGTAGAAGAAAAACAAAATTGATGAACAAGCCCAAGCTGGAGCTCCTTCTCTCCCTCTTCTCAAAATGCAGTTCAAGTACTAGCTACATCAAAAAAAGTGTAGCTTTTTTTTAACAAGCATATCACTAAACTCTAACATTAATCTGCATAATCAAAACACTGGGAGTTGAGCCTATTAATTTGCATTTTAACAAGCCTCTGGGTTATTCTCAAACTCAGTCAAGTTTGAAACTCTTCACCTATTCATGAATGATTCTTCAATCATTAAGCATTCATGCTACTTGTTTAATTCTGCTCTGTCAAAGGCTTCGAAAAGGCAAATACTCCTTCAAGTATTCATTAAGAAAGAGATGTACCCTTACATAGATCATTTTGTCCTCTAACCACGAAACTTAGCAGTATTTTTTTAAGACTGTGATTGTTTTTAAAGAGAGGGAGAGGGGAGCAGAGGGAGAGGGAGAGAGAGAATCTTAAGCAGGTTCCACACCCAGCATGGAGCTCAATCTCACAACCCTGAGATCATGACCTGAAAATCAAGAGTCAGATTGACTGAGACACCCGGACACCCCTAGAAGATTGCAATTTAAAGCCTAGAACGAGACAGAGGAAGTTATGTAAACAAAATATTTTTCTTGGTTTTCCTACTCAAAATGGAAAAAGAAATTGCCCAATAAATAAGGAAAAAAGAACATTTATAAATGTACACAGTATTAAGTACAATAGATTTTTTTTATTCAATTATAAGAAATTGATCATTAATTTTTTTTTAAGACATTTATTTTAGAGAGAAAGAGTGTGCACATGTGAGGGGAGGGTGGTGGGAAGGGGCAGAAGGAGAGGAAGGGGGGTAGGGATAGAAGCAGACTCCCTGCTGACCTCAGAGCCAACAGGGGGCCGGATGTCATGACTCAGATCATGACCTAAGCTTACATCAAGAGTTGGATGCTCAACCGACTAAGCCACCTAGGTTTCCCATTGGTCATTAACGCTATACACCATTTAAGAAACTGGGTATGAAAAACAAAAGCAGGGGCACCTGGGTGGCTCAGTCAGTTAGTTAAGTATCTGCCTTTAGCTAAGCTCATGATCCCAGATCCTGCGATGGAGCCCCACATTGGGCTCCCTGCTCAACAGAGAATCTGCTTCTTCCTCTCCCACTGCCCACCCCACAAATGCTCACGCTTGCTCTCTCACTTTCTCTCTCTTTCAAATAAATAAATAAAATCCTAAAAAAAAAAAAAAGAAGTACGATTCCCTTAATGAAGTAAAGAAAAGATTAGAAAGAAAACCACATATATTCTGTCTGTATAAAACTAGGCTTAAATTTATATAAAGGCGTTTAAAAAGACACTCGCAGGTCATGATCTCAGGGTCCTAGGATAGAGTCCCACATCAGACTCCCCTGCTCAGTGGGGAGTCTACTTCTCTCTCTGCCCCCAGCTCCCCATGCTTATATACTCTCTCTCTCTCTCAAAAACAAAATCTTTAAAAATAATTTTAAAAATCAAAATAAAAAGTCACTGTCATGAATTAATAGTAAAGAACAGATTTTTAAGAAAAGATTACCATTCGGTGCAGTGGGAGGTGACCAGATGCCGTAATATTTTGGCAAATATTTTCGTAGCTCTAAAAGAATACCATCAGTACAGTCAGCAGCATAAACCTGAAACAGAGAGAAATATAACATTTGCATGGCAGTTTCTTATAATGCTTTATAATTGTCCTACACATTTCTCAAATAAAATGATACTGGTGAATCATAATCTATCTCGTATTGAGTTTCAATTGGAAACACATTTGGAAGAAAAAAAAAAAAGATTACTTTGTGTCTCCAACAAAAAAGTATGATTGTTTAAAGCACATTTTTCTTGGTTATCTAATTCTAGCCTTTCACTGTCCTTGAACTATCTTACAACTAAGTTGTAGATAAAGCTTCAACAAATGCAAAATAATTCTTGTCCATGGAAATGTAAAATAATTCTGGCCGGAAAAAGTTCAGCTCACTTCCTTCCACCCTCCACCACCCCTCATGGGAGGGCAGAAGATATATACTTATTTCAACTTCCCTTTAATTCTTATAAATTTGTGCTTCTTTGGATTCTCTTTTGAATCAGTTTCAGTATCTGCTTAGTTCCCTCATTATATAATGAGTTTACCAAAATCTTTAACAGATATTCATTTTATATCTGTAAGGGTGTTATGGTTTTTTTTAGAAGATTTTATTTATTTATTTGACAGAGAAAGCACAAGTACAGGGAACAGCAGAGGGAGAGGGAGAAGCAGGCTCCCTGGTGAGCAGGGAGCCGGGTGCAGGGCTCAGTCCCAGGACCCTGAGATCATGACCTGAACTGAAGGCAGATAGTTAACTGACTTAACATAGGCACTCGGGAGTTATGATTTTACCTTTAAAAAATCATCCATTAACTCAATGTAAGTCTAATTATTTGTCATTTAATTCCTTGATGTATAACCAGTAATAATTCTAGAAAATACTAGAAATGTTCACATATCCTGGAACTAGATTCTTAGTTTTTTCCCTAGAAGAGTAGGGAAAGAAAATATTTTTGGTTTAAAAACAACTTGTAAAACATATTATCCAATGAATTCTCACAATACGGTCTACCCAATTATCCAAAACCATTAAAGTTCACTGGTGTAAAATGTTTGTGAAATCTCAGTATTACAATTCTATTTGTCAAGCCATATTCATGTCTAGTAGTTATACATAAAACAATTCTATAAAATAAACTCAAATGTGACAGAGACTCACTAAATATCCATGTGATAGACTGTATTACCCAGTTTTCCCTATTGAAATGTGAGCAGAAGTGGTATTAGTCAACTCTAGGCCAAGGTAAGTAAGGGAAGGGTATACCTTACCAACCCTTTGTTCCTGGCATAACATCAGTGAGGGCACAGTGTTCATGAAGACATAACAACAGGATGGAGGAACTAAGTATATATCTATGTTGATATGGACTTGAAATCCATGATATATTTTTAAGTAAAAAAGATAAAAGAACTGGAAGAGTATATATAAAAGGTAAACTTTCTCTTCTTACTTTAAATATGGGAGGCAGGGGGAGAAATGATTAAAAAAAAAAAAAAACTTTCTACCTGGAAAAATGTAGGATAAAATATAATAAACATTTTCTTAAATGTATACCTGAGCTCCCAAGGAAGAGAAAAGGAAACTCAAAGGGGTCTGAAATAAAGAGGGAACCAAAAGCATTAAACTGAGCAGTAATGTTTGGGCTTCATAAAGGTCTACTCTGAAGATCTGAACCAAAAGATCTCTTTGGTTCTCACAGATGAAGACAGAGTTACTATACTGAAACAGGGAGAGTAAAAGAAAATCTAACTATGAATTGTAAAAACCCTGTCATCCTCTCCCTTCCCCTACCATTACACTCTAAAAATGCCAGGGACCTAAATAAATAAATAAATAAATAAAATAAAAATGCTGGGGGCCAAACTGATCAACAAAAAGACAGAAGCAACAAATAAACAAATAATATTAGGAATATAAAAGAAGTCATTAATTCAGCTCAGGTCCTGATCTCATGGCTCGTAGGATCAAGTCCTGTGTCCAGCCAGCTCCATGCTCAGCAGGAGTCTGCTTCGATATTCTCTCCCTCTGCCCCTTCTCATGCTCACACTTTCTCTCTCTTTCAAATAAACAAATAAATCTTTAAAAAAGAATCCAGGAAAGAAGGAATGAAATGAAAAAAAGGATATTAAAAAGAAAAAGGAAAAAAGACAACTGGCTATAATGATACAGTTAAATTCTACTGAGTCCTTAAGGAGGGGCACCTGGGTGTCTTATTGTTAAGTGTCTGCCTTTGGCTCAAGTCATGATCCCAGGGTCCTGGGACTGAGCCCCACACTGGGCTCCCTGCTCAGCAGGAATAAATAAATCTTTAAAAATAAAAATAAAAAAATAAATCTTTAAAAATGAATAGGTGAATGAATAAATAAATAAAATGAATAAATAAATGAATAAAATCTTTTTTTAAAAAAGCCCTTAAGGAACAAAATCCTTATCTGACAGAAATTCTTCCATGAAATAGAAAAAGAAATGCCCCTCCTTTTATGAAGATATAAGAAATCTGATATCAAAGTTAGACAAGGAAAATATGTGAATAAAATAATAATTTAATCTCATTTTTGGGAATAGGTGGAAAAAATATTAAATAAAACACTAGCAAACAAAATCCAGTAATGCATATTATTAAGAAAAAATTAGAAGGACATGTACAAGTAGGTTTTACTCCAAAAATGAAAGATGAAAATAGATTAGAACTCTATTATGACATTTACATTAACAGATTAAAAGAGAAAACTCATAAAATCATTTCAATAGATACAGAGAAGGTAGCTGAAAAATATTCAATACCCATTCATGTCTTAAAAAGTTTCTTGAAATAAAAATAGAATGGATGTTGTGTAACTTCCCCTTTTCCCAAGAAACTAGTATCAATCAACTAGATCGGTGGGCATCCCTTGTCCACCAGTGATGGACTTAATAGTACGGTGTCTCTCTTTTTTTTTTTTTTTTTTTAAAGATTTCATTTATTTATTTGACACAGAGAGAGAGATCACAAGTAGGCAGAGAGGCAGGCAGAGAGAGAGGGGGAAGCAGGCTCCCCGCTGAGCAGAGAGCCTGATGCGGGGCTCAATCCCAGGACCCTGAGATCATGACCTGAGCCGAAGGCAGAGGCTTAACCCACTGAGCCACCCAGGTGCCCCTGGTGTCTCTTAATAGTACAAGATAGTGGAGGGTAGGAAAAGTGTTGAGATCAGGTTATTTACTTCTCTAATTTCCTCCTTCTCAGTTCATACCTTCTAGTAAAGTTACCTTCCCTTAGTTCTATAACCAGTGTCTCTTAACAGTACAAGATAGCAGAGGGTAGGAAAAGTGTTGAGGTCAGGTTATTTATTTCTCTAATTTCCTCCTTCTCAGTTCATACCTTCTAGTAAAGTTACCTTCCCTTAGTTCTAGTAACCACTCCCTTTCTTTGCCCTTTCAGGCCCAGAGATGGTATAGCATTATCTCTTGTAGGTGGCCTTGAACTGTGACCACACCTTTGTAAACAGTCCTTTTATTAAATTGACAGAGTGTACCTTCATATTTTGACAGTCTTGACGCCCAGAGAAGGCAACTTCCTTAACCTGGGAAGAAGTATCAGAAACTTAAGAGAGAAAGCCATACTTAAAAGGAGAAATATTAGAAGTACTTTTCTTAAATGAGAAGAAGATGCCCTTTCTTTCCCCCATCACTACTTCCGTTCACCGCTGTACTGGAAGTACTTAAAAGAAATATATGGATTCAAAAGGAACAATAACAGGGGCACCCGGGTGGCTCAGTAGGTTAAGCCTCTGCCTTCGGCTCAGGTCATGATCTCAGGGTCCTGGGACTGAGCCCCCGCACTCAGGCTCTCTGCTGGGCATGGAACCTGCTTCCCTCTCTCTGTCAAATGAATAAATATTAAAAAACAACAATAACAACAACAACAAAAAAAAAACCCTTCCAATCACCATAGCTTTAACTGTCTACATAGGAAACAATCAGAACTGTTATAGTTCAATGAGATTACTAGATAAAAGAAATACATATATCATTCCTGTATATTAGCAATCATTGGGAAACTTAATTCAAAAAAATATTTATGACAGAAACAAAAAATGAGTTACAAAGAGTAAGCTGAACAAATTATGTAAAAGACTTTTACAGAGGGAATATAAAATACATTCTTCAAAAAAGAGGCCATGTGTAGCAGTTAAAAGTACATATTCAAGAGCTAGACTGAGTACATTCAAATCCTGGGGCCATCATCAACTATTTGAATGATCTTGGTAAAATTATTTCAACTAATGATGCCTTCATATGTACAGGTATAAAATGAGGATAATATAGACCCTACCTCACAGGTTTTTTCTGAGGATTAAACAAGTTAATACTGGAAAAGCACTTATATTAGTATTTGTTTTTTGTTGTAGCTTGTACTGTTTTTTTCTACTTCATCTAAATGAGCTAAAACTACAAAATTCTTAGAAGAAAATAAGCATAAATCTTCATGACTTTAGATATGACACCAAAAGCACAAGCAACAAAAGAAAAAAACAGATAAATTGGACTTCAGAATTTTAAAACATTTGTGCTTCTAATCACTACCAAGGAAGTGAAAAGACAACCCAAAGAATGGAAGAAAATATTTGCAAATCATTTGCCTGATAAGGGACTTTTATCTAGAATACATAAAGAACTAAAACTAAATTAAAAAGACCACCCAATGAAAAAATAAGCAAAGGATTTGAATTGACATTAGTCCAGAGAATAAATACAGATAGTCAGTAAGTACATGAAAAGATACTCAACATCATTAGCCATTAGGGAAATGCAAACCAAACAAACTGCAATGAAATTAGCACTGCGCTCTCAAAAAAAAAACAAAACAAAACAAAACAACAACAAAAACCACAAAAAAATAAAAACCACTTCAACACTCACTCGGATGGCCATTAAAAACAAACAAACAGGAGAGGAGATGCAACATGGTGGGTTAAGGGGGTAGGAGAAGAGTAAATGAAACAAGATGGGATTGGGAGGGAGACAAACCATAAGTGACTCTTAATCTCACAAAACAAACTGAGGGTTAATGGTTCCCTTAGTTCTAGTAACCACTCCCTTTCTTTGCCCTTTCAGGCCCAGAGATGGTATAGCATTATCTCTTGTAGGTGGCCTTGAACTGTGACCACACCTTTGTAAACAGTCCTTTTATTAAATTGACAGAGTGTACCTTCATATTTTGACAGTCTTGACGCCCAGAGAAGGCAACTTCCTTAACCTGGGAAGAAGTATCAGAAACTTAAGAGAGAAAGCCATACTTAAAAGGAGAAATATTAGAAGTACTTTTCTTAAATGAGAAGAAGATGCCCTTTCTTTCCCCCATCACTACTTCCGTTCACCGCTGTACTGGAAGTACTTAAAAGAAATATATGGATTCAAAAGGAACAATAACAGGGGCACCCGGGTGGCTCAGTAGGTTAAGCCTCTGCCTTCGGCTCAGGTCATGATCTCAGGGTCCTGGGACTGAGCCCCCGCACTCAGGCTCTCTGCTGGGCATGGAACCTGCTTCCCTCTCTCTGTCAAATGAATAAATATTAAAAAACAACAATAACAACAACAACAAAAAAAAAACCCTTCCAATCACCATAGCTTTAACTGTCTACATAGGAAACAATCAGAACTGTTATAGTTCAATGAGATTACTAGATAAAAGAAATACATATATCATTCCTGTATATTAGCAATCATTGGGAAACTTAATTCAAAAAAATATTTATGACAGAAACAAAAAATGAGTTACAAAGAGTAAGCTGAACAAATTATGTAAAAGACTTTTACAGAGGGAATATAAAATACATTCTTCAAAAAAGAGGCCATGTGTAGCAGTTAAAAGTACATATTCAAGAGCTAGACTGAGTACATTCAAATCCTGGGGCCATCATCAACTATTTGAATGATCTTGGTAAAATTATTTCAACTAATGATGCCTTCATATGTACAGGTATAAAATGAGGATAATATAGACCCTACCTCACAGGTTTTTTCTGAGGATTAAACAAGTTAATACTGGAAAAGCACTTATATTAGTATTTGTTTTTTGTTGTAGCTTGTACTGTTTTTTTCTACTTCATCTAAATGAGCTAAAACTACAAAATTCTTAGAAGAAAATAAGCATAAATCTTCATGACTTTAGATATGACACCAAAAGCACAAGCAACAAAAGAAAAAAACAGATAAATTGGACTTCAGAATTTTAAAACATTTGTGCTTCTAATCACTACCAAGGAAGTGAAAAGACAACCCAAAGAATGGAAGAAAATATTTGCAAATCATTTGCCTGATAAGGGACTTTTATCTAGAATACATAAAGAACTAAAACTAAATTAAAAAGACCACCCAATGAAAAAATAAGCAAAGGATTTGAATTGACATTAGTCCAGAGAATAAATACAGATAGTCAGTAAGTACATGAAAAGATACTCAACATCATTAGCCATTAGGGAAATGCAAACCAAACAAACTGCAATGAAATTAGCACTGCGCTCTCAAAAAAAAAACAAAACAAAACAAAACAACAACAAAAACCACAAAAAAATAAAAACCACTTCAACACTCACTCGGATGGCCATTAAAAACAAACAAACAGGAGAGGAGATGCAACATGGTGGGTTAAGGGGGTAGGAGAAGAGTAAATGAAACAAGATGGGATTGGGAGGGAGACAAACCATAAGTGACTCTTAATCTCACAAAACAAACTGAGGGTTAATGGGGGGAGGGGGGTTGGGGGGGTGGGATTATGGACATGGGGGAGGGTATGTGCTCTGGTGAGTGCTGTGAAGTGTGTAAACCTGGCGATTCACAGACCTGTACCCCTGGGGATAAAAATATGTTTATAAAAAATAAAATTAAACAAACAAACAAACAAACAAACAAACAAAAACCCTAACAAGTATTGGTGAGGATGAGGGGAAATTGGAAACTTCATACATTGCTGGTGAAACTATAAAAAAATGGTAAAGCCCCTCTGGGACACACTGACAGTTCCTGTAGAATATTCAAATGACCCACCAATTCCAAAATTGGAAACAGGTATTCAAGCACTAATGCAGGAATGTACACAGCCAACACTATTTACAAAAGCCAAAAGATGAGAACAACCCAAATGTCCATCAGTGGGTGAATGGATAAACAAAATGGGGTATGGAAGTAAAATGGAATGTTACTCTTCCATAAAAAGGAACAAAGTTTATGGACATTGGGGAGGGTATGTGCTATGGTGAGTGCTGTGAAGTGTGTAAACCTGGCGATTTACAGACCTGTACCCCTGGGGCTAATAATACATTATACGTTTATTAAAAAATTAAAAAATATAAAAAAAATAAAATGAAAAAAACCAAAAAAAAGGAACAAAGTACTGATGCATACTATAATGTAGATGAACTTTAAAAACATTATGCTAGGGGTAGCTGGGTGATGCAGTTGGTTAAGCAATCAATTCTTGGTTTTAGCTCAGGTCATGAGACGGAGCCACAAGTTGGGCTCCACACTCAGCACAGAGTCTGCTTGAGATTCTTGCTCCCTCACCCTCACCACCTCCTGCTCATGCTCTCTCTCCCTCTAAAATGAGTAAATAAATCTTTAAAAGAAAAAAACACTATGCTAAAAAACCAAGCTAGGCCCATATTATACATAACTCCATTTATATGAAATATCCTGGGGGCAGCTGGGTGGCTCAGTGGGTTAAGCCTCTGCCTTTGGCTCAGGTCATGATCCCAGGGTCCTGCAATCGAGCCCCATATCGGGCTCTCTGCTCAACAGGGAGCCTGCTTCCTGCCCCTCCCCCATGCCTGCCTCTCTGCCTACTTGTGATCTCTGTCAGATAAATAAATAAAATCTTTAAAAAAAATTTTTTTATATGAAATATCCTAAATAGGTAAATCCATAGAAAGCAGATTAACAGTTGCCAGGGATGGCTTAACAGTTACAGGGTTTTCTTTTGTGTGATGAAAACATTTTGTAACTAGACAGAGAGTTGAAAACACTGTGAATGCACTAAAAAGTATTCCTAGTCATAGAGTTAATTAGATATTAAGTATGCTGTGTCCCTTTCCCCAAATTTAAAGATTCATAGTACGAATTAGCACATTTAAGGTTCTAAAAAAAAATCCTGTAGTAAAAATAAAAACACTTAAATTCAGCACTTCTGCAATGAGCTCTCAGTTAAGGGGTATTTATTTATTTATTTATTTGTCATAGAGAGAGAGAGAAAACAAGTGGGCAGAATGGCAGGCAGAGGCAGAGAAACAGGTTCCCTGCTGAGCAAGGAGCCCGATGTGGGGGCTTGATCTCAGGACCCCCCTGAGATCATGATCTGAGCTGAAGGCAGCAGCTTAACCCACTGAGCCACCCAGGTGTCCCAATTAAGGGGTTTTTAGAATGTAGGTCTAAATCCATTAACTGAAATCAATTTAGCAGATCAAAATAAGGATCTTTAAGAAATGAAGTACAGTAGGGCCACCTGGTTGGCTCAGTCAGTTGGGCAGCCGACTCTTCATTTCAGCTCAGGTTGTGATCTTGGGGTCGTGAGATCAAGTCCTGAGTTGGGCTCCCCACTCAGCACGTAGTCTATTAGAGTTCCTCTCCCTCTGCCTTTTCCCTGCCCCCCTGCTCATGCGTGTGCTCTAAAATAAATAAATAAAATTTTAAAAATGAAGTACAGGGGAAAATACTAGACTGTAAAGATACACAATATATTCACAAAGCTTTTGTTTTAGTCACATATACAATATACCAGGACATGCTGTCAAACGAATTTCTTACCTAGTCATCAGAAAACTATGAAAAACTCTTTGAATACAATGAAACAAACCTTACCTCACTTACCATATTATAGAATTCCAGCTCTCTTGGACCCCTTGGAGGTGGCTGTAACTGTTTCAAAACTGTGCCATCTGGATGTTGCAGGATACCTACAGAACAAAAATCAGCTATTTTTTAATGCTTTGATAATGGTATACCTTGTATCACAAGATAGATGAGTTCTTAAAGTTACAGATAAATCACTTTCATAAAAATTAAGGGGTCTGTTTTCCTTATTTCAGAAATTTCAACATTTAACCAAGAGATTTCAGTGCTTGTTATAGGCAAAGCACCAGAACACAAATTGTGAAGTATGGTTTTATTGTCTCAAATTATTATTCCCCTTAGAGCCCTCTCAGACTTTCTAATAAATTTAGAATATACTTCTAAATTTTATAGAAATTCTTCAGTAATAGTCTTTCTGGGAGAAAGTAATTTATACTTAAAAAATCACAAGCAGTAGTGTAAACTGATTCCACTCTTGTATAGAGAAAAAAACAAATATGTTAAAGGTGGTACTATATGAACTTCCTATTTTGTAACTTTTTAATAAGTTTTTCTCATTTATTATAAGAAACCAACTAAAAATTTTTCCTGATTCAGATGCACCACGTATAGATTGTATGAGGGCGCATAACCACTGGGAGAAGTGGCAACTGAAATCAGATACCAAGCCTGAAGCAGGAAGGGGCAACTTCTCATAATCAGCCCACTCAAAGGAGGAGCCTTTTCCTAAAGCCATCACATATGTACTAGCACTGGTCCTGTCCCTACACCAAGAAGACTCATTACCAAATTTATATGCTAAAATCTTAAATTTTCAAATACTGAGCTTTTCACCAAATCACATGTTAGAACACAACAGAGCTCAAATAAGTATCATAAGGAAAAAAAGAGAATAGGTCAGAAAAAATTCCTTCACTGAAAAAATAAAATTAAATTAAAAAACAACAACAACAACAACAAAAAACCTCTCGGACTTCTACTTTCACTTAAGAGACAGAAATCTAAAAATCCCATCCCAAGACTCAGGGTCAGAGGGCCTACTAATATTGAAGATGCACCAAGACAACAAGAAACACCCCCTACAGCCTTGCATCAGGCTGGTAATTACCAAGTAATAAGCAACAGTAGCCTACATTTGGAGAAAAGGCATGAACATGGAGAAAAATTATCTCTGAAGCATGAGTGCACAAAGAAGACATAAAGTAGAGGGTTAAACAGGAATGTTGAGAAAACTCCTCTGGCAAATCAACCCCATTCTAAACATAAGCTTACAAGAGAAAAACTTCAAGCCTGAGGTGCACTAAAGGTGTTATTAGTCTGCTCCAGCTTCCATAACAAAATACTGCAGACTAAGTGGCTTAAACAACAAAAATTTATTTTTTCACAATTCTAGAGGCTGGAAGTCACAGATCAAGATGACAGTCTATTTAGCTCCTGGTGAGAGTTTTCTTCCTAGCTTGTAGACAGCTGCCTTCTTATTTTGTCCTCACATAGTGGAGACAGTGAGAGAAAAAACATACTCTCATGTCTCTTTTTATAAGGACACTCATCCTTTTGGGTCAGGCCTACCCTTATGCCCTCATTGATCTTAATTATCCCCACAAAGACCCTCTCCAAATACAATCATACCGAAGAAGGTTGTTCCTTCAGTGTATGAATTTGGGGCAACACAACATTCAGTTCATAACAGAAAGTAAGTATAACAACAAAATTCAAACTTAGCTCTATTTCTGACTAGATTGGCTCAATCACCAACACTAACTGCCTAGCAGAAGAGGTATATTCATTTCAGTCATAAATACTGTTCAGTCTCACATGTGATGTCCAGAATTTAATAAAAAATTACAAGACATATGAAAAAGCAAGGGGAAAAAACACTTCCAAAAGAAGATGCAACATATAGAAGAGTTTCAGAGATGATACAAATGTCAGAATTATCAAAGGAACTTAAAATAACCACAATTAACATGTTAAAGATTATAACAGAAAAGGTAAGTAACATGCATGCAAAGATGGGGAATTTCAGTACAGAAACTTAAGAGACAAATGGAAAGTTAGATGTGAAAAAGGGAGCAGCACCTGGTGGCTTAGTCAGGAAAGTATCTGCCTTCAGCTCAGGTCATGATCCCAGAGATCTGGGATCCAGTCCCCCAACAGGTTCCCTGTTCAGTGGGGAGTCTGCTCCTCTCTCCCTCTGTCCCTTCCCTGGCTTGTGTTCTCTCCTCTCTTGCTCACTCTCTCTCAAATAAAAAAAGAAATTTAAAAAAAAAAGAAGAAAAAAGAGTAAAGAGACAAAAACATGCTTTCCATGGGCTCATAAGCAGACAAAATATAGAAGAGGAAGGAATCAGGGAGTCTGATGACAAGTCAACAGCAATTACCCAAACTGAAACACAAACAGGAAAAAAAAAAAAAGTGGAAAAAGTTAGAAGAAAGCATCTACAATCTGTGGAATAATATCGAACAGCCTAAGATAACTATTAGAATCCTAGAAAAAAGAAAAGGCATGCTCATGTTCACTGAAGCCATGATTCACAATAGTCAAAAGTGGAAGTAACCTAAATGTCTATCAACAGATGAAAGATTTAAAAAATGTGATAATATACATATAATGGAACATTTTTCAGCCTTAAAAAAGGAAATTCTTTATTCCATGCTACAATATGGATGAACCTTGATGGCATATGTTAAGTGAAATGAGACAGTCACAGAAGTACAAATACTGCATGATTCCACTTACATAAGGTATTTAAAGTAGTCAAACTCTTAGAAACGGCAATTACAATGCTGGTTTCCAGGTCTTGGAGGAAGGGAGAGGGGAATTTGTTGCTCAAGGAATAGTTTCACTTTTGCAAGATGAAAAAGTTCCAAGAGATATGTTGCACAAAAATGTAGAGTTAACACTACTGTACTGTATGGTTAAAATGATTAATATGGTAAATTTAATGATGTGGGGCTTTTTTTTTTAACTACAATGAAAAAATTATGTACGTAGTGGGATTATTTTACTATGTAAAATAAATGCATGTTAAAATTTCTATCTGTGGCAAGAACTTTCTAGGTAATTTTTATTTCTTTTTTTGTAACTTTCTCCAGGAGTTTCTATAATAAACACACTGCTTTTATTATGAGAAAAAAATATATGACATGAAAAATTCAAATATGCTAAAATGATTATACATTCTATTTAATCTCAATTATGTAAACAAGTTATTGAAAAAGATGAAGGGAAAAGTTTTTAAATGACAGAAAGGGTATGAGGAAATACTTGACAAGACAATGTCTAAAATGTTCTAAAACTAATGAAAAACCTAAAAACACAGAGATGGGAATTCCAAATAGGATAGAAAATACAAACTCCTAGACATTTTTTTTTTTATTTATTTGACACAGAGAGCGAGAGATCACAAATAGGCAGAGAGGCAGGCAGAGAGAGAGGGGGAAGCAGGCTCTGTGCTGAGCAGAGAGCCCAATGCGGGGCTCGATCACAGGACCCTGAGATCATGACCTGAGCTGAAGGCAGACGCTTAATCCACCGAGCCACCCAGGCGCCCCCAAATTCCTAGATATTTTAAATATAAAGACAAGGATGAGTTAAAAGTAAAAGGTTAGGAAAAAAGACTATACTAGCAACTACCATTCATAAGAAAGTTAACATATTATTATTACCATATATCGGACTATGTTAATAATAGAGAACTCAAGAAAAAGGAATGTTATCATATGTAAAAAGGGACATTTCATAAGTCAATTCATTTAGACACAGCAATCCTAAATGTGTGTACCTAATAAGAACTTCAAAATAAGTGAAAAAAAAAAAAAAAAAAAAAACGTGACAGAACTGAGAAGAGAGACAAACCTGCAATTACTCTCTCAAAAATTGATAAAACATTAGTAGTGACACATAAAACTAAACAACAGTATCAAACAATCACATTGACAGGTACAGGATACTATATCCAAAAGAATACACATTTTTTCATGTACAAATGGAACATTTACCAAGACTGACCATGTGCTGAGTGATTAAAAAAAAAAAAAGTTTAAATTTAAAAGGATTGAATATTCTCTGTCCATAATGGAAATAAGATATTTGGGAAAATACCAAATAGATGAGAAGTAAACACACTTGTAGTTAATCCATGGATCAAAATACACAAAGGAAATTTAAAAACATTTTTAACTAAACAATAATAAAAACTAACATAACAAAATTTGTGAAATGTATCTGAAGTACTGCTTAGAACTCAGAGGAAAATGAGTAGTTTTAAATGCTTCTATTAGAAAAAAAGAAAAAGAAAGGGGAGTTCAAACTTAAGATGCTAGAAAAAAGTAAAATATTAACCCAAAATAAGTGGAAAGGCAGGAGCAAATAAAAACAAAAACAATGAAATAAAAATAGACAACAGGAAAAAAAATCAATGAAAAAGATTCTCTGAGATCAATAAAACGGATAAAACTCTAGCTAGATGGAGCAAGAAAAACACAAATTACCATAATTAGGAATAAATGAAAGATGGGGTGTCACGATAAATGCTATAAGCATTAAAGTCATAAGAGAGTTATGAACTTCATACCAATAAATCCAACTTAAATAAAATGAATAAACTCCTTTACACATAAATTAAAACACAAGAAGCAGAAAACCCGAGTTGCCCTAGGTCTATGAAGAACACTGAATTCATAATTTTAAATATCTTTATAGATAACTGTAGGCCAAAATGGTTTCAACAGTAAATTCTATCAAACATTTACAGAAAAAGATAATAGCACTCTTCCCAAATTTTTTTTAGAAAACAGGAAAGTGGGGAACATTTCCCCACTAATTTTATGAAACCAGCATACTCTTTTTTTTTTTTAAAGATTTTATTTATTTATTTGACAGAGAGAGATCACAAGTAGACGGAGAGTCAGGCAGAGAGAGAGAGAGAGAGAGAGAGGGAAGCAGGCTCCCTGCTGAGCAGAGAGCCCGATGCGGGACTCGATCCCAGGACCCTGAGATCATGACCTGAGCCGAAGGCAGCGGCTTAACCCACTGAGCCACCCAGGTGACCCAAAACCAGCATACTCTTTTTAAAAAACCCAACAAAGACTTAAAAGAATA